GTGCAGGTGAAGACACCAAGCCCTCAAAAGCACATTTAAAGCAGTTTTGGACAGGCTCAGGAAGCACACAGAGGTGGAGGGGCTGCTGAAGGGTTTGGAAATAGGAAAACCAGCCTAAAGCAAATGGTTTCTAGAGCAGCCCCCCGAAGGTTAAAATTTGACTGAGTTGTTCTAGATCTCAGTTTGGGGGAAAACAAAGAGTGGTCCCTTACACAATGAGGTAGGAACAACAGGAGGAGAAATGTAAATGCTCAGATGCTGTGGGGGGAAAAAAAGAAAAAGGAAAAAAGAAAAAAAACCTGTTTGAAGTGCATTTATCCTTTAATGGTTAGATTTGCTAAATGAGCCGAGATCCTGGAATGGCTGATAATCTCAGGAGGATTGGCATTGGTTTTAGTGGTGCATTTCACAGGGGCTAAACTGGATCTGTCTGCAAATATAAAACTTCAGTAATCACAGTGCTTGGTTTCAAGCCTGCAGTAAATATGCTTTTGACGACCGCAGCCTCTTAGTCTGTTCAATTCATTTCATTTATTATCTGCTGGCCTTTGACTCCCTGAGAACAAGCAGTGCACTGCAAAAGCCTCGAGACACGCTTCTCATTTCATCCCCCAGGTTGTAAAGCTCCCAAGAAAGGGTCAAACAAACACAGATTTAGGCAAGGCAAGGACTACGCTGGGCAAAATGGTTTTGTAGAGCTGCTCTCACACAGAACCATAATATCAGACTGAAAACTGTCTCACAGGCTATCAGAGGGCAGCTGGGATATTTAGGTGAAGCAGAGAAGTGGACACATTGTCTGGTGGATGAATCAAAGCATTCAGTCATGGAGCAGAGGAGAGGGAAAAGCTGCATCCTTTCAGATGAGGAAGTAGATGGAGGAAGGTTGTTCCAGACAAGGAGAGCTCCTCGTGAGATGGTTGCACACAGGCAGCTCTGACTGTGCAGCCTGAGGAAGAGGTAACTATGGAGATGCTTAAAAGGGGCCTGAGCCAAAAGGAAGGAAGAGTAAGGACACAAATGTGTGATTGTTCCCTGAGAGACACGTCAGAAACAGGCAGTTGCAGAGCTGGAGGCACAGCAAGCAGGGCTGGAGGGAGCAGGGGGCATGGAGAGGGGAGCTGGTGATGAGGAGAACGCTGAACACTGGATTTGTGTCATCCCTGCACCCAGGAGAAAGACATCCCACACACCTGCCAATAACCAGGCCGTTGGAATAACTGATTTGCTCCCGAGCAGGGGAGTCAGCTTTGAAACGTTCTGTTTTCCAGCTGACACCCTAAATTTTGGAGGTGGGTTTAGTGAACTTCGGAGCGTGGAGAACAGAAGGGCCAGAAAAAGCGACTGGAGCAGAGCTGTGAGCTGTCTAAGGAGAGCTCACAACAGAACATGAGTCAGTCCCCAGCAGGGGATGGGGTTGGGAACTTAAGGAGAGGGAGAAACAATAAGGTTAAAACTGGAGCTGGCTGACATTTAAAAAACATGGGTTTTTTTCAACCACGACGAATCTGTGTGGAATATGTTTTTGTTGTTGTTGATATTTAACAGTCTTTGACAGGGGGGGAAAAAAAGCTCTTTTGTTATTTTTTTTAAAGATATTTCAACTTTGCTGGGGTAGGTACCTCTTTCTCTTCCTCCTCTGTTTGCTGTTTGTCACATCCTTTAGTACAGTTCAAGGTGGGGGGGGCAGAAAAAAAACACCAAAGAAACAAATAAGCCAACCAGGAATCCTGCCTCTCATCTTTCATATCATCGAGGAAAGCAAAATGACATTTTCCATCAGTTCAGCTTGTTCAAATTCCCTGAGCCCCAAATTGCATAAGACAAGAAGAGATCTCCTCTGAAAGGAAGGGCTCAAATCCCTGAGCTACAGCTTATAGGTTCAGCCTCCAAAGCCATCCCATACATCCAAATAGTAAAGCCTGTTGTCAATAGTGGCCCAGTGCCCAGCTGAAATTACTTCCACACACGTCCAGAAGCTGCTCTGCATTTATTCCATGCCTTGAGGCCCTTTCACATCACGTCTCCATCACCAGATAACAGCTTACAACACACAAGGACCCAGCTAATCCATCCCCGAGGTCTGTCCTTGGTCACCTCAGCACCAGGGTGTCTCTCTCCTCAGCCTTTGGAAGCCCAGGTTTGTGTGGCAGCCTCTGTCCAGATGGCTCCATTATGTAGCACAGTTGGTAGGATTTGTTATGGATAATGTTGCCCACTCCATCCCAGATGTCTGAATAAATGCAGGCTGAAATCGCCTCGTCAAGGAGACCTGGCTGCAAAACATTCGGCAAAAAAAGGTTGGAAAGCCCTATCCTGCTCTTTGGAATTGGCTTCTGGTGATCAGGTTCTTTGCTGTTACCTTTAGCACCTAGTTAATATTTTACCACCCTGCCTAAATAACCACAATTGAGTGGGCTGGGCACAGTTTAGCCCCCAGCAGTTCCCAAGCTCCACAATGAACACGGCTCAGCCCCAGCACGTGGTTATGTCTGGATTAATGGATATGGATACATCCACTGGGCCAGGAAAAAAAACATCACTGAAGTGGGTGGAATCGGTAGTAGAGCTTATTGTGGTTAGTAATTCATAGCGTGGCAGCAATAAGCAAATGCAGGATGGCACTCGTGGCTGGCACTGGCAGTGCTGGGGTGGCAGCAGGGGGGTCTCTGATCACCTCTCAGGTCCATGGGAACACTCTGTGGGCAACCAGCACATCCCCAAGGGCCACTGCAGCCCTTCCCTGCTCACACACTGCCACATGTCTCACACAGCCCACCTCGAGCAGCCCGAAGAAGCTCATTCCTCCCACTCCACCCAGCAGCAGTGGCCGGCAAAGTCTGACTCAGAACGAGCCTCTGTAGTTTGAAGGTCGTGAATATCCCATCAAACAGTAACTGCTGGTAACTTCTACATCACATCAGGCTTTAAACCAGCACGAGGCAGGTGCTCTCCAGGCACGAGCCCTCCTCTTTCATCTCCCTATTTAGTCAAACTCTGACACCACGGCAGCATCACCCTTCCTTACTTCCCTCTGTGACTCCTTTATTCATGCCTAAAACTGGGATAAATCCACTTCCTTCCCTGGCTCAGTGGATTCTTGCAGAGGCCATGAAGTGAAACCATCTTATGGCCATAACGATCACACCCAGGGTTTTTAATTTGCCCATCAGAGCTTTCTGTGCTCGCAGCTCTCGCTCTCTCAACCACCCAAGGCAGAAATGACAGCGTGAGCTTTCCTGACCGGCCACAGAGAGCAGGAAACGCTGTCAGAGAATGGTTAACGAGCAGGCGGGGGAATCCAGAGCGTGCATCAAACTCACACAGATAACAAACACCCCCCAAAAAAATATCTACGTGGGGAAGCCACAGCCTGGCCGCGAGCACCGCGCGGGAAGGGGAGGCGGCTCAATCCACAAATTGCTCGGTAGGAAACGGTCCCTCGTTTCTCCTCTGCCTCGGTACGGCAGAACCCGTGTTCACGATGCAAACCGAGGTAATTCCAGCCGCCTGTTCCCGGTGGAAGCGCAGCCGTTCAGCCCGAGCTCCCGCGGACACGGCGGCAAAGAGCGATGCCAGGCGACAAAGAGCGATGCCAGGCGCTGCCCGCGGCTCGTCCCTGTCACACGCGGGCGAGCAGCAGCCCCGGCAGCGCTTGAGTCAGGACAATTAGGAGCCGTTCCAGCAGGGCAGTGATGCTGGAACGCCCAGACCAGGGCCAGAGCAGCGTGTAGCCATGACGACTCCGCAGCTCTTGTGACAAGCCGGGAGCGCTCCAGCGGCCGGGACGGATCCAGGCGAGGCTTCTCCCGCCGCATCTGCCAGCCCGGCACGGGGCCAGCGTGTTGTGGCTGTCAGCGCAAGGACGGCAGCCCAGACACACGTTTTCCCCGAAGCCTCCGCTCGAACACGGCCGCGGGAAGGGTTTGAGGTGGATTTTCCCCCACACACACACATTGCAAGAGGTTTGTCCCCAGACACGCCAAGAGCAAGAGGGACAAGCGGGAGCAGCTTCTGTGAGAAAGGAATTGCACCGTGACTTTGTTGGCGTGTGATGAGTTCTGAGCGATTTTGTTTGCCGGCAAGAGACACTTTTCTCGATTAATTCTCAATGAATGCTGAAAACTTGCAGCACAGAGAAGAGGGATGGAGCACGGAACCCCCTTTACTCCTCTCAGTGGGTACCTGCCCCACTGACACACACTGACACCAAGTGCTGGAGCGTGTCCAGGGAAGGGGCTGGAGCTGGGGAAGGGGCTGGAGCACCAGGAGCAGCTGAGGGAGCTGGGAGAGCTCAGCCTGGAGAAAAGGAGACTCAGGGGGGACCTTCTGGCTCTGCAACTCCCTGACAGGAGGATGGATGCAGGGAGGTCTGGCTCTGCTCCCAGGGAACAAGGGACAAGAGGAGAGGGAACAGCCTCAAGCTGTGCCCAGGGAGGGTCAGGTTGGACACCAGGAGGAATTTCTGCCTGGAAAGGGTGGTCAGGCACTGGAAGGGGCTGCCCAAGGAGGTGTTGGAGTCCCCATCCCTGGAGGTGTCCAAGGAAGGACTGGACGTGGCCCTCAGTGCTCTGGGCTGGGGGACAAGGAGGGGACGGTCACAGGTTGGACTCGATGACCTTGGAGGTCTTTTCCAACCTAAAGGATTCTGTAACTGCCAGGGAGCAGGACAACAGCCCCACCATCATCTCTTCCCCTGGGGCTTCGCTCCGTGGGGGAGAACAAAGAACACAAATTTTACAGACTCGCTTATTTTTTCTCCCATTTCAAGGCTTTTTGGTCACTGGCCCCATCCCACCCCCCCAGGTTTTCATCACCTCCTTGGGCAGGTGTGAGCAGCCCTATGTGAGCAGTTCCCTTCCCCTTCTGCAGCCAACACAGGCCTCCACATCATTAATTAGGTTCATCTATCAGGCCCAGTGAGTTGGCATGTGACACCAGATCAAATTCTCTTAATTTCTCCATCCCCTGAATACTTTATAGCCATTAATTAGGGGTGTGAGCTGTGTGAAAGATGTTACAAGAGCGAGATCTGGAAACATAGATTAAAAAAAAGACAGACAGATAAATCACAGACAGACAGATGCTCATCACACTCGGCTTCCAGTGAAACACAGAACCTTATTTTAGATTAATAGAGAGCAGCAACATCTCTATTAATGAGGCAGAAAAACATGAGGATCTTCTCTTGATATTTATTAAGTAATACATTTCTAGACAAATTCTGACCCTGATTTAAACCCCATAACAACTCTATCTATTCCAGATTATTCCCATTGCAACTGGGCACCTCTTTAACCACCATTCCTCAGAGCAATTTTGACCCAAGCTCTAAAATCTCTTCTAGCACTAAAAATATTTTTAAAAAAAGCCCATGTAGGGATTTCTTTTATCATTATTTCAGGAAGGGGAAAAGAAGGGAAGAGAGCTGGCTTTGTCAGTCAGCTGGACTGGTAGCGTGGGAACTTCAGCACAGAGGAAGCTTTGAATTCCAGCCAAGATGCAGCAACTGTGTAAAACATAATTCCATCAAGGAAAAACTGTCCCTAAGGTCAGTTCTTATAGAGATCAAGGTCTGACTGTAACCCATATTGGGTGGATGAATACATAGGTAACTTGAAAAAGGTATTAAAAATAAGCAGAGGATAAAAATATGAAATGGCCTCAAAAAAAGCCTACTATTTAAATGTCAAAGAAAGGGATAAAGTGAGAATTGTCAAGCTCTATTAAAAAAAAAAAAAAAGTGAAGTTTATTTTGTTCTTCCCTGAAAAATGAAGAAAACACCAGAAAGGGGATGGTCTGTGTGAAAAGAAAATGACAGTACAATGGCAACTGAGTAAAAGTGGCAATGAATAAACAGAGGCTGGAAATCAGAAGTTTTCTAAACAGAAGAATAAATTTCTGAAATAAACGCCCTGTAGGAGTAAGAGCTTCACTAAGTTTGAGCCAGAGCTTGTAAATCTCAGGATGAAAACGTACAAAAAGTAGTTTACAATAGAGAGGGACCAGTCCTGGTGCTCCAGGGGCTTCCTCCGTTTCTCTGTGAACTTTGCATATTATGATAATTTTAAAATTCTCTGTTTAATCAGCCAGGATATCTGTGACTGGTAGAGAAGCCCAGATCCATTAAACTCCATATTCTGTGCATTGTTCTATAAATAGGTTGAACATCATGTTCTTCGGTGTTGGAAAAGATTAAACGATAAAGTTCATTTGAAATGATGTTCTGTTGCTTTAATGGTGCCAAGGGTAAGGTAGGATTAAAAGGAGAGATACAGAGGAGGAGAGGGGAATCTTTCATCTCTGGAAAGTAATGAAGAGGCCCAAAATAAGATCAAGGTCTGACTGTAAGTGGTTCTATCAAATTATATAGGAATATAATGAGTTCTACACTATCTAATTTCCATATGCAGCTCTATAATGTCTCCCCCCAAAGCAGAAGTGACAGGATATTTAAACTCAACTCAAAAGCTGTTTAATGTAAAGATTGGAGAGGAAGGAAATTTTAAATGTGCATACTTTTGTTTCTTAGGGAGGGGAGGGGGGGGATAGGTTAAAAGGAGAAAAAAAAAAATGTAGTTTTAGAGCATGTAACAGTTCTGTGCCTCCACTGCCTGCCCATTACCACGGCCAGATGGACCATGGCAAGCAGAATAACAACTAGTTCTTATTATATGGACCATTTGCTTTTTAAACAGCCATGATTCCACTCAGCATTCAAACACGTGTAACAACCCCCAGCCCTGATTTCCCTCTGTCAGAGCTGGCAAAGCAGCTTCTGGGTGTCAGGAGCAGGACAGATGATCAGTGGTGCCTCATTAGACTGAGGAAAGCACTCCACGGGCAGTAGATCCATTTAATGTCTTCTCCACTCCATTATTTTTTAAAAATGACGGGTTTTCCACGTTCTGCTCGGCAAGGAAGGGCTCCCACAGTAGGCTGGGGAGCTGGGCTGGTTCCCACCAGGTGAAGGGTCCATCCATCCCCTTCCCAAGTCACGTTTGTGCACCGAGTTCCCACTCAGAAGTACAGACTGAAGCCTCTGCTGAATTCCTCTCTGAGCTTTATGCTATAATTAGTCGAAGGTACCACAGACAAGATCATTTTAGGGAGGTGAGAACACAACTACAAGAAGATCCTTTTCTGTCATTCCATACTCCAAGCCCTGGTGTTAAGCCTGCACAAACTCCTGTTTAACTCTACAATCTGCTTGTTGCCCTTTCCATATCCTAAAATCAGCCACGTTTCTTTCCAGTTAGAATTAAAGCCCAAACCCCAAACTAGCAACGGATGCAGAAAAACGCAAGACTGGCTGTGATGTTTCACCTTGAGAATAAAAATCAGATATTCTCTTGATTACTTCTGAGAGCAGCTTCATTTCAGCCTTAAAAGGACCGGCGGTGCACCCAAACTGCAGCAGCCACCAATAGGTCTATTCAAATTCAAACTACTAATTGTTTAGGAATTAGCATGTGAAACACCGTTAATTATCTCGTGGGGCTACGTTTTCTGCCAGGAATCCTCTGAGCGTGGTTTCAGCAGATAAAAGTAGAAGGAGTGTGGATGGAGCACCTCTTAACACCAGGAAAGGCTGAGGGAGCTGGGATTGTTTAGATTAAAAAAGAGAAAGCTCAGAGGGATCTTATTGATGTATATATGTTAAGATATATAAATATATACCTGGATATATATTAAATATATATATACACCAATTTATATACAATATCTATCTATTCAGGTACTCAGGTTTCCATCTTTGGAGATCCTCAAAAGCCACCTGGACACAGGTCTGGGCAACTGGGTGTAGGTGGCCCTGTTTGAGAAGGAAAGCTGGACCAGATGCCCCATGACATGACTCCCAGAGGTCCCTTCCAACCTCAGCCATCCTGTGAAGGTTAATTTTAATAAGAGCTCCAGTCTCAGGAGGGAGAGGTGGGTACAGGACCTGTGCACTTATCACTGACACACAGGTACTGCAGTCACTCCTCGCTCAAGTGCTGAGGGTCTGGAAAGCTGAAGATGTCTGGCAAATATGAAATTATGTCACAGGCTGTAGCTTAATAGTTTATTAGACCACATAAATCAAGAGTGAACGTTATCTCCATAAGAACTAGATGAAAATCATTAATAAATAATAATTAGCTGTTTCCTGAGCCTGCCATCTGGTAAGCAGTTTTCCCAGCCAGCAGCTCCTGCTCCTTGCACTTCTCCCAAAAGCTAGAAGATGAACTCAGGCTGGTTTTTTTTCCTCCTCTACCAGTCCCCTTGGGAAGTGCAGATACCCAGGATGCTGAAATCCTCCCCACTGCACCTCAGCTCTCCACCTGTACAGGTCTTCACTCCTTATCCCAAGCCTCCAGTTTCCCAAAAAAACAGTAAAACCCCAGAAGTTGTCGAGCCCTGCCTTCCATCCTGCCCTCAGAAACACGTGGGCTCCAAGATAACCAAATTAATCATTCTAACCTGTAAGTGGCTGTCATTAGTATTATTATTTTCATCATATAAATTATCTTCCAGATTAGGTCATATGCATTTTGAGATCCTGTGGTTTCCTAGCAACTCCTCTCCCCACTCTCCGTGCAGACACAGTGTGCTGCTTTCTTTTCCTTTTTTAGACTCTCTGTGCAGGGGTTATATTCAGCAACAGTGATCTCAGGCCTGGCCCTGATGACCTTTAGTCTGTCACATTTTGGGGGATAAGATGCAAAAGGCACCTATTCCCCCCCAACTCCCTCAAAAAAAAAAAAAAAAAAGACATTTGCAGCACAAAGGCAGAAAACCACAGTCCTCCAGTTGTCCATCTGTGTCCTCAGACCAGGAGCACTGAGCTCTGCAGGGCAGGGAGGACAAAAACATAACCACAGGTGGTAAAAACAGGCAGAATTTGGAGGATCTTAAAACCCTTTTTCGCTGTCAGGCTTGACCAAAGTAGCACATCCCACATAAACAGACAACAGGTACCTAAATACACAAAGCTTGTGGTGCTTGAGCGAGAAGCTTCCCAAATAATTCCCATTTAACACAGACTTCCACCTAAAAACCTGAACTGTTGTTTCAGAGTTGTTTCTAGTCCAGTGCAGGAAACTGTCTGCAGGGCCAAACCAATTTTAGGCACCCATTTTAATTAACTTCTCTAGCTGAGTTAATCAAGATATCTCCCAAATTTAATCACGATGGGGACGCGGAGCTGGGCGATGTGACGATCCCAGACAATCCTTTGTGTGAGGAGAATGGGATTAACTTCTGTCCTGCCCCACTGACATTTTTTAAAATAACAACGTCTGTTCTAAACTACAAAAGCTGTGGGGCTTAATTATTTAGATAGCTGGTGGCCCTGTTTCAAAAAGAAAAAGAGAACAGACCTCAGAAATGAACCAGCTTCAGTCCACATGGAGTACAGCTATTAATATTTGATCCCCTGCTAGCCTGGAGGCAAAGGGAATAATGTTCATTACAACAGCCTGAGACTGAATCCACTTGAACAATTGACTGAACTGGAGGTGAGGAGGAAACCTTTCCTGCTACAGGTGAGCTGAGCTGGGCTACTCTGGCAATTCCTCCAGCAGAGGAGCTGATGTTTGGTCGAGCACAGAAAAAAAAGGGAATTTTCAGGGGTGGCCCTCAGAGCCTCCCTGTAAAGATCATTACTGCACCCAAAATCCAGTCTTAAGATCACTGAGAAAAGTAAGGAACAGAGATACAAAGGCATATACCTGCATATAGAAGAAATAATTACATTTCCATTAAATTACCAGGAACAGACAGGCAATGGCACTTCACTGGGAAATGGAATATCCTTCAGTCCCTTATCCCCTGCTCTCTCCCCCTGATCCATAGGAGTCTCAATGGATTTTTGGATTACAGCCTCAGGCCAATCTTACTCGGGGCCTAAAGCAACACAGCAGGGTGGGAAAGTTTTCAGAGAAAACTGAAGCTCCAATTTCACTTTCTTGTTGTATTCCCAGTCTAAATCTTGCAAATACAACCCGTGCCCCTTTCTCAGGGTGACCAGATTGGACCTTGGCCCCAGCACAGAGATTTCACTCTCAGATGCTGATTGGGAGCCTCAGCATTAAAATGGGACAGTGAAATCTAGGTGAAGTATAGAAAATAAAGTCAATTTTGGATGTCCTCATTTTGGGGGGGGGTCAAAAGACGACCTATTTTTCAGACTGGTCATAGCCTGTGTCACCCAGTTAAAGCTGCAAACTGGTCCCCTGGGCATGTCTTTGCCTGGGAAATTGTCTGTTTGAGCAGAAGGTCTCGAGGTTAAAGAAATCTTTCAACCATTGAAGGCCAGAGTCACTCACACACTCCCAGGAATAAAGCTCCTGGAATGACAGTGCTCCCTGGACCCACTGCAGATACTTTATTCTTCCTACAGTGTCTACCCATTAGCACCTCTAATTAGAAGGCAAAATCACGAGCTCCATGTTATTTAAGGGATTATGCAGCATTTTAAAACTACAGCACAATGTAATTATTTTTTAATAGCCGCAGCTATTTCATGTATTTACTTTTAATGGTGTTTGAGTCATAAATTAACTGTAGAAAAAGGCAAATCAGCACTTGACGGAGGAGCAGGCAGCAATTGGGGAAAAAAAAATGAAATGCTAAAAGGAATGATCAAAAATTATCAAAAAGGAAGAGGGCATTAATTTTTCTTGTTTGCTTTGTTCTGGGCTGCCTTTTATCATCTAACTTGTCCCCCTGGAGATCTAGAAGGTCAGGGATGAATAAACACAAGGAGATTTGAATGCCTGTGTTGTTGCAGAGTGACTTCTGTCAGTTGTTAAGAGATGTGTATTTTTGGGCAGTTTTATATTATCAGACAGTAAAGTTAATAAACTAACACTGCCAAGTGACAACAGAGATGCAAGAGAACAGAGCTGGAAGATGAAGAAAGGACTAAACAACCAAGCAGGTTAGAGGGAAGGTGAGCCAGGAAAAAAAACACATGCTTGGTGCCAAACCACCCAAAATCATCCTTGTCCAAGACCTGTGCCCCTTTTTCAGGGTGCCCAGATTGGACCTTGGCCCCAGCACAGAGATTTCACTCTCAGATGCTGATTAGGAGCCTCAGCATTGAAACAGGACAGTGAAATCTGGGTGAAGTATAGAAAATAAAGTCAAAATCATCCTGGTCCGAGACAAGGCTCACCCCAAAAAGTTACAGTGAACTTTTGAAAGGGTAAAAGAAACCTCTGCACACCTCATGTCGTCTCTGGAGAGGTTTTTAACCCTCTGTGGCAGCTGAAGTGCTTCGGGTCCCGCAGACAGACCCGTGCCGGCTGTTCCAGCAGCACCTCGGCCCCTCTGCCCACCCCAGGCAGAGCGAGAACCTGACCTTTCCTTCCTCCTGCTCCTGTCCTGGCAATGCCCATCCCTCAGCGTGTCCCAGGTCCTAACTTTGCTGTCTCCCTCCCCCACAGAAAGCCCGGCTCGCCCGGATCCGCGTGGCCAAGACCGGCAGCTCCAACGCGTACCTGCACAGCAAACGCAACGGCCTCCTCAACGAAGCCCTGGAGCTCACGGTGAGTGTGGACGTGCCACTTCCTTCCACAGACCTCCCTAAAGTTCCTTGTTCCCACTCCTCTCCCTGGGATCCCTTCCCTTTCTCTCTCTCGTTGCCGCTTAATTGCTCGTTATCCAGCGTGGCGGCCTCGCACATGGAATGGTGCTGGTGAGGCCACCCCTGGAGTGCTGTGTCCAGTTCTGGGCCCCTCAGCTCAGGAAGGACATTGAGGGGCTGGAGCAGGTCCAGAGGAGAGCAACGAGGCTGGGGAAGGGACTGGAGCACAAGTGCTGTGAGGAGAGGCTGAGGGAGCTGGGGCTGTTGAGCCTGGAGAAGAGGAGGCTCAGGGGAGACCTCTTCACTCTCTGCAACTCCCTGACAGGAGGGGGGAGCCGGGGGGGGTTGGTCTCCTCTTCCAGGCAACTCTCAGCAAGACAAGAGGGCTGGGTCTTGAGCTGTGCCAGGGGAGGTTTAGGTTGGATATTAGGAAGAATTTCTTTCCAGAGAGGGTGCTCAGCCATTGGAATGGGCTGCCCAGGGAAGGGGTGGATTCTCTGTCTCTGGAGGTTTTTAAGAAGAGACTGGATGTGGCATCAGTGCCATGGGCTGGGAACCACAGCGGGGTTGGATCAAGGGTTGGACTTGATGATCTCAGAGGTCCCTTCCAGCCCAGCTGATTCTGTGATTCTATGGTGTGGAGGCACAGCTGGAATCCAGCTGGATGGGAGGAAAAAGCTCCTGTGGGCTCCTCCTCGAGCTAGAAAAGGATCTGGCTTTCCAGCAGCAAGCACAGTTCCTTCTAATCCCTCTGGTGGTTTCCACAGCCCAGGCTCTGCCCACCCCACTCCCTTCCAGCACGCAGTCATTTGTTTTCTAAGAGCACAACATGGGCTACCTGACCATCTCCAACAGGACAGGAGAACATTCCCTAGCTCCTGATTGAGGCAGCCGGGTGGTGGGTTTATTTTTAAAGGCCCCTGGCTGTTCAGGAGGAGGGAAGCTCTGAGTGTGTCAGGTTGCTCAGCAGAACCGGCGAACATGAGGCGAGGTTATCACATTAAGCCTGATCCACGCCAGAGCAGGTATTAGCACATTTCATGGATTTCATTCCAAATAAATCAGCCTTCCATGCACATGGGAAGCAGAGAGGAGATGAAGGATGTTTAATTGAGCCACCTAGCACTCATTCATGCATCCTTTCTTGGGGTCTAATCCTTCATAAAATGTGATTTTCCCTGGCACGTCCTTGCATTTGTGTCCAGAGAAAGGGAACAGAGCTGGGGAACGGTCTGGAGAGTCAGTTCTGCTGAGGGAGCTGGGGGGGCTCAGCCTGGAGAAAAGGAGGCTCAGGGGGGACCTTCTCACTCTCTGCAACCCCCTGACAGGAGGGGGGAGCCGGGGGGAGTCGGGCTCTGCTCCCCGGGAACAAGGGACAGGATGAGGAGAAACAGCCTCCAGCTGTGCCAGGGGAGGGTCAGGTTGGACATCAGGAGGAATTTCCTCATGGAAAGGGTGGTCAGGCCTTGGAAGGGGCTGCCCAGGGGGGTGGTGGAGTCCCCACCCCTGGAGGTGTCCAAGGAAGGGCTGGACGTGGCACTCAGTGCTCTGGGCTGGGGGACAAGGTGGGGATGAGTCAAATGCCAGACTCGGTCTTGGAGGTCTTTTCCAACCTCAACAATTCCATAAAATCAAAGCTGAAAACCCTTTTCAGTTCATGGTTAAAGCTGCTCCCCAAAGCCCTGAGCCCGCTCCCAGCCCAGTTGGGTGGGCACAGCACAGGGAAGTCGTGCAGCACCTTGTTTTCCACGTGGGAAGGTGCTCAGTGCACACTGGGATACAGAAACCTGGCCCTTTACAACTGGAATCCTTTTTCAAGTGACTCTACAAAAGCACTTCACACGAAGCACAGATTTGGAAGGTGGGGGGCCCAGATCAGTTGCTGTTCTCCCCTCCAAAACAAGTTTGATCCTTCTGGCTACACACCCAACGTTATCTCCTGCTCTATGAATGGCAGCAACACTCAAAAAAACCTGTTTCTTGAACCATATGTTGCTGTTGAGCAGCTCAAGAGAAGTTTCTTTATCAAGTAAAGACCAGGCAGGCTGGTCACACCTATTCCAGAACCTCATCCCCATCCAGGAAAGGCTCAGGGAAACCAACTCTGCTGGGATTCTGCTTTTTCACTACCCAGAAACAGGCAAAAATATTTGACTAAAAATTGAAAATTTCCTTTTAAGCTTTAGATTTCTGGGTTTTTTAAAAAAAAACGCCAGGAGAGCTTAGCAGGGACACTCAGTTTGCACTTGATCTTCCAGCCTGTCATCCCACCAAGAGTCTCCTCACTTCTCTTGTCAACCAAAACTCCCTGCCAAGACCACTCAGGGAAGAGCAGCTGACTCACCAATGCTTAAAGTCCAAAATGCAGGAGGTTGAGAGAAATATTTGGCTGAATGGGCTCATTTCTTGGCACCTGCCCAAAAATCAGCGGGAAAGGGATCGTTTTGTTGGCTACAAAGCTCCTGTAGACACAGGAACTAAAACAAAAACATTCCTAAAGAGGTTCTAGAGGATTTTTTTTTACCTATTGATAACTAAATTTAGATATATAGCAACACCTAGAGCAGGTTTTTGCAGGGTTTTCTGGGTGCAACTTGCTTTCTGGTGGGTTTATAACTCTCAATCAGAGGCACGGGGTGGTTTGGGTTGGAAGGGACCTAAAGATGATCTGGTTTCAACCCCCTGCATTGGACAGGGAATCTGCCACTAGATGGAAGGTTGAAATGCTGACATGACTCCCCCACAGCCCAGTAAGATCCACAAATCCCACTCTGAAAAGCACTAAATACTGTGTACATTGGTATTAACACTCTGTAAGAAAATATCCCCACCTGAAGGAACTCCCTGTTGAAATGGTCAAAGAGTTATGTGACACGTGGGAATATAATTTTTTTCATTCACTAAATTACTACATTTTTATTAATTTATTAAAAGAAGAAACTTGCCAAAGCCATGCCTGGCACCTGCACAACCACCAGGAAATGGTCTTTGACTACCTGAGGACCTGAATCAAAACCCAACATGTCCCTCCATCCCCAGGTAGTGGCATTAATTAATTACAGGGCTGCAGAACATCCTCTCTTTACATGACCATTTTAACTCCACGAGGCAGGATTTCATGTCCTTTCGTTTCATGGCAGCAGAACAAACCATTCTGAAGGGTACAAAATGTGAATGACAGCCTAGTCTAGACAGCCAAATTTTTTAAGCTGTAAAAATATGAAGGAATGTGACTCCTGCAGTTGCTATATTTAGGCACCAAAATATTATCTCCATACTGTGCATATTTGTCAGTCAAATTAGGATCAAACTGCTTCAGTGGTCAGGTGCACATCCCATTTTGACACCTTGCCCGGGATTCTTGCTCACAGTAATGGGCTGCACATGGCCAGATTGCCTTAGGGCTGGTGTGTCACCCAGCAGCAATTCCAACTGCAATTACTCCGTGGCCATGAGCAGATATTATCACTTCCATCAGCAGCAATCCCACATGTGTTATTGTTTTACAAGGGCCCAGCACATTGCCTGGCACTCTGACACTCGGAGGGGTCACAAAACAACTGCCCCACGACATAGCCTGGCTGGGGCTCTGCAGTCAAACTAATAAATTGGAAAATAAGGACTGTTCAGGATTCCAGAATGTGTGCCAGAATGTCCTTTCATTAGCACCAGAATGAAGGCACTGACACCGTCTTCCCAGGGAACAGCACGTCTCCAGCCCGTGGCCTGCTATCAAAGCAAAGAAAGAGGGAAGAAAAGGATTCATCCAAGGACAGCAGCAGGAAGGAGATCTGCTTCCAGCAAGAATACAGGCTCTTGCTTCACAAACATGTGGATTTGTGGCATTTGCCATCTAGACACGAAGTACTCAGACTGTTTGCTTCTCATTTAGAGATTTTATTTTTCTTTTTCCAGTGGGCTTTATGTCAAATGTGCTCAAGGGATGGGTGAGCTCCTTCCCATGGCAGCAGCCTACATATCCTCTTAGCACTAATCTCCTTGTACAGCCAGCTGAAATTCCCTTTTAGCTGAAATGCTGGGAGCTGTATATCCCAGGAACAGGAGGTTTGTGAGGTCTTGTGCCTTTTCACAAGCAGAACCTGCTTAGCCATAGATAAGCCTTGGAGCTGCTCCCATAGGCAGGGACAGTCCAACCCCTGAACCAGCTCCTCTGGGTTCACCAGGGCCCAATTCTGTGTGATGGAGCACTTAAAGAGAGGCAGAGTGGAAGTATTTTGGATTTCAGTGTGTCTCAGCCTCCCTCCAGGCAACCAGCAGTTCACTGAATGTCTTCCAAGAACAAACTGAATGGCAGCTGGCACCAAATCCCTGCAAAACTGGCATCCCAGCTCCAAAAGCAAACCATCCCCTCTCCTCCCTCCTCCCCACCAGCTCCTCCATTCCAGCCAGCCTCTCCTAATGAAGACACAGATTTTGGTTGCCTGCAGTACCACTAATGCAACCTCTGTAGGTTCATTTCCCTCCACAGAGCTGTCAAAATGCCCAGTTTCTGTGATGTTGGCACTGTCACTGTCCTAGGGCAGGACTTCCAGCAGATCTCATGCCTAATTTCCACTTAGGGTGGGCTCAGTGGTTGCCTGCTCTTGGTTTCTGGAAACACTGAGCTGACTGAAAAAACACCAAAAAATCCAGAAGGAAGATAAGGTACAAGTCACAATCCCTGATATTCCACGTTATTCCTGGTCACTGCCCTTGAGTGACACGTCCCTTGAGCCATTTCCCTCAGTGACAAACCCAGCCTTGGGATGGAAGGCACAGGGAGAGGCTGAGCTGTGCTGCCAACATTCAACAATTGGCTTGAGTCTCCTGCCAGAGGTATCAAAGCTCTATCTTTGCTCTGAGATCCCATTTAGATTTCCTCACGAGCAAATCCCCATAAAAAAGATACTGTTTGCAATATATGCTCTTCCCCTGTCCTTTTCCAGTGTTTTAGTGCAGCATCCTATCTGCTTTAGGGCTTCCAAGGACCTCCATGGGAAACATTCCAGCCCAGCCTCCAGCAGAGTCAGTGCTCTCAGCAGGTACCAACAGGACCTGCTGGGTGTGTTACCTCACCAGGAGGGTTGTTAAGAAGAAAAATGGAACTGATTTTTTTGTTTTGTTTTGTTTTCTTTTGGGCCACTTCTAAAAATACTTCTGGGAATGCTCATCTTCCAAAACAACAACCAAAAAAAAAAAAAATCCATAACCTGCCTAAGATGCATTCCCCCAGGAATCTATTAATTCTGTGTACAGTAAGTCAGCTTCCTTAATGCACCACTTCAGCTGTGTTTTGGCATCTGTCAGAGACAGAGTTATTCCTTCACTTAAGGATCACAGCACCAGCCTGGAAATGGCATCCAGGAGAAGCATTTGCAGTGAATCACCGGGACACAGGGGTGTGTTTAAATGCAGTGCTTCAACTAGAGATGGATTTGACCCCCTTGGGAGCTACAGGCAATGTCTTGGCACTTCTGACAAGATGTTCTGCCGTGTCTCCCATCCCACCCATTTCCTCTCTTGAACAGCCAGATATTGCTGCTTCGTGTCTGAGCAGAGATTCAAGCCCTGCACAGCCACTTCTGACTTCAGGATTTTGGCATCACACAAAACACCAGGCACCCTTTACTTGTGGAAAGCGGAAGAACATTTTACAACACCTAATTGCTATTTTAATGGACCTCATTGTCTTTGAAAATGCCGGTCCTCAGAGACACACACAGATTAAAGTGTGATGAAATCACAGGGAGCTTCAAGACCAGGAACTTAAGTAGTAGTAGTAGTAAGAGAATATCCTTAAAAATCTGCCACCTTACAATCTTAAATCTACCACCACACAACAGAGAAAGGGAGAAAAATACTTCTGGTTCTCCCATAGCACAGAAACTCTCAAGGCAACCCCATTTGCTACTTTTCCTTTCATTTCTGAGGGGTATCTGACCATCAGATCACAGGGGAAGTAACATGCTATCCTTTGAGAAACATAAGCATCTGATTCATTGATACAGTGCAGAAATCAAAAATACAGAGCCCTGGCTTTCTCCCCCCACACCAATTCAGTCAACTAAATTGGGCTATTGCTGTTTTGATGAGTGCTTGAGACACAGTGAGCTAAACACCACTGAATTCGAGTTCCCAACCTCTCATCCACTTCTATCCCACAGGCTTCAAGCAGCTCAAGCCCCTCAGCTTAACAGGAGCAGAGAGACCAGGCTGAGACCTGGAGCTTATCCCAACCACTAAGAACTCTGCAGCCTGAGCTGTTCCTCCCCAAATCACCACACACACCTACCTGGTGCAGAAGCCAAGGGCAGAACAGCAGAAGTGTCCCAAAAAGTCCTTCCAACCCAGAGCCACGCAAACCAAAAGCAGATTATTCTCCTCCAACTCTTCTTATGCTTTCCTGGGTGGAGCCAGTCCTTTTAGCAGCTTCTCAAGCTAAATGCTCTCAGCTGTGCCCAGTTGCTCCCCAAAAGGCACAGGCTGCCTAAACACACCTGCTTTGATTCAGTTTATGAATTTGTTACCCCCATTTCAGCAGTTTGAGTGCACAGGTGAAGGTGGGGAGAGCTGGTTCCCACTTGTCCAGGATTCCTGTGCAATGAGCCAAGGATGTGGATGGTGAGGCCTCTGGACCAGGCTCTCCTTGTCCTGGTTTTGTGCTAAGTGATGCCCAGAGGGTTGCAGGTCAGTGTGCAGGACTCCTGAGTGCCGTGTTACTAAAACACAAATCACAGGCAGCCCTGCTGCTGAGAGCCATAATCCATCAGAAATGGCAGATGGGACCTTTCCTTCTGCCAAGGAACTGCTGCCATGTTTCAGGTGAACATTAACCCTCTGCCACTGCTGCACGAGGCTTCTTCATTGGAATTCTTCCCTCTGGTGACGAGGCTTCTTCATTGGAATTCTTCCCTCTGGTGACCAGTGAGAGGCTGGAGCTGTGCCAGGGGAGGTTTAGGTTGGATATCAGGAAAAAGTTCTTCCCCCAGAGGGTGGTTGGGCACTGAAGAGGCTCCCCAGGGCAGTGGGCACAGCCCCAAGGCTGCCAGAGCTCAAGGGCTGTTTGGACAATGCTCTCAGGGACAGGGTGGGATTTTGGGGTGTCCTGTGCAGGGCCAGGAGTTGGACTGGATGATCCTTGTGGGTCCCTTCCAGCTCAGGATATTCTATGATTCTAAGTATGTTTGAACAGGATAATTTGTATATATAAACTCTTCTACTCATAGTGTCTGCCTGTTCCTCCCTTCTCCCTCCCTGTCAGAGAGGGCTTGGCCACAGGAGGGGTTACACACAATCAGTTTGCACCAAACCCAGTCCCAGGACCTGCTATAACCCCCCAACAAGAACCAGACACCCCAAAAACACCCCCCCCTTTTAATACACTGTGTATTTGCCACTGTGTGGCAAACAACTGGTGACATGCACGAAGAGGAGAGACAGAGCAGGGGTTCCTGGTTTTGCAAACAGCATTAGAGTCCAAAACATGAAGCCCAGGTTCACATTTTCTGCTCCCACGTGCAGCTGTGGCTCAGGAGGTTTTGGCAAATAACACCCCCAAGTTCCAAGGGGCCCAGCACTGCACAGCCCTGAAGGTCAGGCAGAGCCAGGCTTTAGCTCAGAGAAGGCAGGACAGCTTTTGTTTTGTCTCCTAACACAGCCCAGGGTTCAGGGTACATCTGCTGGCATTCAAAGGTCACGTCAAGCTTAGAAGCCTTAATGCATTTTGGAAAAATACAACAGCACAGGTTCTTCTTCTCTTGACATTCTGGCTCCTGAGCCTTGACATCCTCTGCCAGCAGTCCTTCCCACATCTCCTCCCCAGCTGTGGAATACCTGGAAACACACAGGTTTGGGATCCAACCTGAGCTCCTCACCTCAGTTTACAACCCAAATCATTAGGAAAAAAAAAGAGGAAAACTCCTAAGAGCTGGGAAAAAAAACCTAAGAGCTGGGAAAAAAACCCTGAGAGCTGGCAGCACTGCAAATGTTATCTTTACCCCTCTGAAAGCTCGTGCTGGGACTGGTATTTCTGTTTGTTTTCGTGGTTTTACACCTGCTTTGGGTTTTGTTTCCCCCCACCCCTCTTTTCGTGGCTGTTCAGGGATCCACCGAAGAGGAACAGCACATGACTAAAGGCACCTCCTTAATCGAAAGCCAACACCACCATCTGCTGCACTGCCTGGAAAAAACAACCGTAAGTACCAACACGATCCCTCCACCCCGCCCAGGTCTGTGTGCCTGGCACGGGCTTCCCATGGATAAAGTGCCCACGGAATGCTCTGAGGTGGCCCTTGGTCAGGCACACCCAGTACCTGGTGTGTGCCAGAGGGGCTGGTTCTAAAGCTCCTCATATTCTAAAGCACTTCTATTTCCTTGTCTTCTTAAAATAATAAAAATGATCCCTGTGCAAAGGGATAAAGGTGGGATTATCTGCTGCTCCTCAGTCACCTACACCTGCACAAAGTCAGCAGCAGGTTGCTCAGTCGAGGTCGCCTGAAGGCAAAGAAGTTTTCAGCACAGAATTAGGGAGGTCCCAGAATCACAAGTTTCATTTCTTCGGCGTTTCTGAAAGAGAACTGAACTGCATTTGTCCTGTACTGTCAGTCACACATCATATCCACCCCTCATTTGTGCTAATTAGCAATAGAGGACAGTTCTGCTGCCTTAAAGAGGAAGATGCTGGTGGTGACTCCAAACCCCAGCCTGGTCACCAGTGCCAAGAGGCTGGAAAGAAAATAACCTTTAGCCCATGAGATGGCTCAGAGCAGATGAACTCTGTCAGTGGGTTTAAAGGTTACACATATCTTTTCTCATTTCAGCCTGGTTACAGGGGCAGGTAATTTATCTCAAAGCCAGCCAAGCAGTTTCTCCAGCATGACTTTTCTGTTTGCATCGTGCAAGGTGTTGGCAGTGAGAGCTTTGTTTTTTATTATTAAGTGATTGTGTATGCAGAAGTCTCTGGGAACGTTTCAGATGTTTATTTTCCAGGTTTATATAAAAGGTTCTGCAGAAAAGGAACACATTATCTATCCCATGATTCATTCTAGAGAGAATGAAGCGAGGTTAACACTTGAAATATTCATGCCTTTTTCTATCTGCATCCATCATCAAATGTACTTTTGGCTTTTTTTGACTTGCCAGAGCTTTCTTTTAGATAAATCACCTTCACTTCCATAGTTTGGTTTGTGCTGGAATAACACCACTTAGGCCTCAGAGATACACTGGAAGAAGATGCTGATT